ATAATTATTAGATTTCTTAATTATACATTTGTTTTATATATATATATATATATAATAATGTATAATTAGATTAGATAATTATAATATATAATTTCATATTTCAAGATGATCTAATTGAATAGCATAAAAACAGATTTTGCAATTATATATTTATTAAATAATGTTATATTTATTATGAGGGTAAATAAAGGAGACTTTGGATTTCACTTATGTATTTATATATATTCTTTATACTTTATAGTGTATAGCAGGGGTGCCCAACCCTGTTCCTGGAGATCTACCTTCCTGCAGAGTAATTACAGAGCTCTGCAGGAAGGTAGATCTCCAGGAACAGGGTTGGGCACACCTGGTGTATAGTCTGTATAGTCATTATATAGTTCAGTGTTGTTTTGGCTTGTGATTTTGTGTCCCTTTTTGTCTTCACCAGCTTGCCATAGTTCCACCTTACCTACCGCAGACACTCAACCGGTCAGTCACCCCTCTAACTTATTATGAGGAATGATTAATTTAAGATTGAACAATGTCCCCAAACCTGCATAAAAGCTTCATCTCCACCTTTCCAATACATTTATCATTTATCATACACACACATGAACACACTCAGACTGTACCTTACTGTGGTGTTTGCAAGGTGAAGCTCTGCTGGAACTAGGCCACAGACACAGAACAACACATGAGGCTGCTCCAAACGGGTTCAAATCAGTTTCATTTGAAGAAGATCAGGAGTTCGATTCATTGTTGCAGTTAAAGCATAAACGTGCAAGTAATTCTGAGATCTTATAATTAATTATCTTACCTTCTAAAATAAAGTAAGCTTTAACTGAAATGGAATTGTCCTTAGTTCTGATCTATAGCCACACACTGCTCAATGCTTTGAGTTGCATTAAATTTACACATATTTCCTGTAGTTTTAAGGATAAAATGAAATGCATTTTGATGTTAGATGTGAATGGAATAGCTTGTCTCTTCTGAAGCTGAAATGACACCTGACTGAGAGTTTAGTGTGACAGAAGTGGATTTTTTCCCAGCTTCTGTTTCAGTACGTCTGTCCTGTCCAAATATTTTAAAATATCTTTTATGCAAATTATTTATTTTTTATTTGATTTTATTATAATATTTACGTTGTATTTTATTGGTTTTAAAATACAACGTACTTTTCATTGTTTATAGTATTAATGTGTAATTCTATAATATTTAAAAATTAAATATTTGATAGAAATTGTTTTAATACGTATATAATTTTGCTTAGATTCTGTGGAATTTGTGTGTGTGTGTGTGTGTGTGTGTATATATATATATATATATATATATATATATATATAATGTGTGTGTATGTATGTATATTTACATCATATTTTATTTATATTAGTAAATATGTGTTATGATTTCATAACAAAGTTTACATTATTTAAAAATAACTATATTTGATATAAATATACACTTGCTTAGATTCTGTGATATTTGTTTATTATAATTATTTCATTTTTGTGCAGTGTCAATAGTTGATTAGAGAAATCACTGATATCTGATTGATTAGAGAATATATTTATTTAAATCTATTGATTAAAATAAATAGATTTAGATAATGTTTATTATTTGGTTTATATTGAAATATTAGTATTATATAATTCGTTATTATATTTTTTTAAATAAATATATTTTATACTTTATTATATGCATTTGCTTAGAGTCTGCGTTTTATTAC